GTTTTTACTTCTTGAGCGTTGCGATGGCAGTGTGGATAGATGAACAATGATAGGTAGGAGAACCGACGATGTAAACGTGGACACCCGCTGCTAGAAAAATTATCCTTCGGGGAGAACGCCGCTCTCGCTCCGAGAATCGAGTTGCGTCAAGATGGCGGGTTCTTCGAGGCGCGTTCCAAGATGGCGTCCTCATATCGTTTATCCTTCGGCTTTATATTCGAGTGGATCTTCGATCTTAATCGTCTCTCGTTGATCTTTCTTTTTTAATATTTCTCTCTTACCTTTTTTCTAACTTTTCAGTATTAATTTACTATTATTATCTTTACTGCTACTTCGCTGTTTGTTACTTTGATTCCTTCGGTCACGCGTAGCTTTTCGCTTTCAAGGAATTTGATTTTTAAACCTGCTCAGAAGCCAATGCCAAGCCGATTTTTCTTTGCTCGACTTAACCGCATAGCTTCTGACTGATTCAAATCTCTTCCAGCATTAAGCTCGAACGTCACGTTTGTTTGTCAGTCACGTAGTTCAATACTAGAGCTTGATATGTCGAAGTAACAAGCAAATGCTCACTTACACTTGAATGAAACTGGGATTTCCTGAACTTAACGTAGAGACGCTCCGCGAGATAACGGGCCGCGCGTCAATGATTTCTGTTATCGTCCCACGCCGGTCGAATCGCAATAATACTTACGTATATTTTTATCGACGCCCGCGAAACGACTGTCGCTCAATCCTCTTTTCATTTTCTAAATTAAAACCAGGGCCGAACGCGGCCACAGCCTTGGACGATCGCTAGTCACCGGCTAAAATTAAAACCGCGGCGCGTCTTATCGATCCAGATATTCCTCTTTAGAAATTACGTTCCAACGCTGCGTAGCTTCTCGCGTTTGCCGCGACAACTGTCCAAGACCGAACCAAGCCTGACACTTTGTCAACGGAAAGGTACGAAACCGAAATTTTTCTTGCTACGTTACAAAAATTCAAAGATCAACGATTTCTGGATTGCAATCCAATGATCCTCTAAATTCTAGAGTAGCTCAAAGTAGCTCAACTATTATCCTGTTCACCGAGTTTCTCGAAATTTCCTTAATATTTCCAAATCGTTCGATTCAGTTGTCTTCGAAGAGACACAAATTAGACAGATGATCCATGAATGTGAACGCAAAGGATAACGGTAGGATCCCTTGGCCCCGACTTCCGGTTTCCAGCGGGTGTCGCGTTCGCGAGATCCGAAGCTGCGGCGGAGACCGATCGCGCGATCCGCTCGTGATCCACGAAGCTTTCCCGAGCTTCCGATCGATCTTCGCTCGACCGGCGGTCCTCTCGCGGGAGGATTCGCCGTTGGATGTCGCCGACTAGGGGAAAAACTGCGAAAGTGAAAGAAAAAGGAAGACACCGGAGCGCGTGTATGCGTGAGAGCGAACGTGAAAGCGCGAGAGAGTGTGCGTGCGCGTGAGAAAGAGAGAATGCGAGAGGGAGCGAGGTCGAGTGAAAGTGTGATTATTAAAAGAAAAGAAAAATCTCTCATCGGTACATTTAATATAACGCTAATTCATTATTACAGACATTATTGGATTTACGGTAAACGGATAAGCGATTGATTACAATTTTGTCCTAATGTTCAGAGAAATAAAACAAGGAAATATATTACACGTCTCCGTTCTGCACTTCCGGCGACCACCTCGGATCGTTCTTCATTCGTTCGTCGAGGAAACGTTTCAGGACAATTGGGGACTCTTGCACAATTATTTCGCCACCTGCATTCATTCTGTGTGTTTTCTCTCGCTGTGAACAATCTAGGAATCATTCGTGATCACGTAAAAATACATCGTTCGATGTGGCTTCCGCTGGAAGACGCCGGTCATCCTCGTTACCCAATCCTCTTTAACGTCCTCTCATCGAATTCCGACGATGTTCAAGGGATATTCATAGCATAGGTACACACACTGCACGGTAACGTTTATTCATAAAAAATGTTTTATTCATTTCTGTAAACTATTCTATAAAAATGTGAATCGTTGTAAATTACATGATGCAGACGTTTCACGGAATTCTGTTCGGCTTCTAGATCCGGTCCAAGCAATCGGGAGAAAGAAACGCCCGGAGATCCTCGTGCGAAACTTTCATTTTCCGTTTCGAACGAGCCACGAGGTCCGTCGGGAACGAACGCGACTGGATACGTTCCGACGGTCAGATGTTTCTCGACGGTGGACGTTTCGTTTACGTTGACCGCGGCACGGTCTGGTCGTGTTTTCGTTCTCGGGAATCGATAACGACGAATGGCAACGTTCCTCCCGGAGTTGAGCAAAATACTCTTGTTTGCGTTCATTGCAATTTATATATGCTCGCCCCTCTCGCTCGGTTTTCTTGTAAAAACACATGAACCATTTTAACGCCATCGGCTCGCGGACAGGATCGCTCCAACTGTGCCAATCAAATTTATCTGTAAACCGTTCGCTCTGTAAACAAGTGTTTCCAGGCAGAAATTATTTGGCACCGAGCGCTGGTACTATAATAATAAACATACGGTCGACGCGCTTGCTACCAGGAAACTTTCCTTGGAAATATTTGCTCACGCGACAGATATATTGAAAGAAAATTCGGGTGGCACAAACATCGAGATTTTTCCTCGGAATTGAACGCATTCCGTGCCACCGGAAATTCCTTGCATAAAGTGCACTGATTCTTCAATAACAGATTAAGTTACATTCAAGCTTTCGCTGACTCTTCAGATATTTTCGTATCATCTCGTTTTTCTTCGCGACCTATACTATTCTTTGACACGTCTGACAATGTTTCCTTGCAAAATTAACCCTTTGCGGACGAATGTCGACATTCCGGCCAGATCAAATTTCCATATTTGGTAGAGTAAGTCGCAAACAGATGATTCGATTACTCAAACAGCAAGAGATCTGTATAATTTCCTTTCTTTCTATTTAAGCAATCGATAATTTAACTTCACCTGCTGAAGGTTTCGTAGATTTCAAAGAATCCTCGTCCGCGAAGGGTTGATCCCCTGTAGAGTACGACTCGTGACAGAAATTTTCGACTGAACGTAAACATCGCGAGTCTGACCCGAGGTGACAACACGAGCGAGGTATCGGTCGTAATTATGGCCCGGATTTCGCTCGGTTAAATGGCACGGCGAGGGATTAACCGGCTCAGTCGAATCCGTATCGCGGAGGTAACAGCTACAAGAGCGCGCGAGGGGTAAGCATACGACCAGACGGTACCGTATCGACAACGGCAGCTAACAGGTAGGAACTAGCGCGGTCGGAGGACGTCAGCAATTCGTATACACAAACGAATCGGCGGCGAACGGGCGCGGATCGTTCAATTTTGATTGTTTCCTTAGAAAATAGAGGGAACTTTGTTAGAGCTAGCGCAGGCAACACACAACTCGCAATAAAAATATTCAGTACCCGGCGGTCTATCTAGGAAAAAAGGGTAACGAAGGCGGAGAAGAAAGTAAAGGTAAATCGAAGGGTCGCGTGACACGCGGTGCAAATAAAAGCGGCGAGCAACGACACTCGGCGAAAACAAACGTGTAATCGTCGCGGCGGAGGTCACGTGAAACGTTTCGAGGGTTGCCGATAAGCGTTCGTGTGAGATTCGAGGCGTATAAATAAAAATTGGCCGGAGAAGTGATAGAGTAATAGATAGACAGATAGAGAGAGAGAGAGAGAGGGGGGAGAAGAAAAAGCAATGGAAAGAAGGGAGTAAAGAAACGACTTATCTATCACCGATAAAATGGTACCGAAGTTATACGAAAGCTTATCGTGATTAAATATTCCTACGGTTAATCGGGAATTACAAATTCGCATCGATGAATCATAAATACATTGAACTCTGTTTCCCTTCTCTTTCGTTTCTCTCTTTTTTTTGTCGCTGTTTTCTCTGTTTTCTGTCTCTTTCGATGGATCCATTGTATTCCCTCGCTCGAGTCGAACATGGCGGTGGGCTCTCGACGTGTGTGATATGTTGTCTCTCGTCGGGAATATCTCCTCGAAATCGCCGGTCCTCTCGAGAAACGTCTCAGCGATCTCATAACTCGGTGGGTTCGTATCCGCTCCTGCCTCTGTTCCGACCGCGCCCTACAAAAGAACCGGAAGCATGTAATATCCTCTATCGAAAGGTGGCGGGAGAAGTACTAATCGATCTAGCATGCTGTTCTCCTGTTTAATCATTCAATCCTCCAATGTCTTTTCAATCGTTCGTCGGGAATTCTTTTATCTTCACCGATCAGACGTAAGAACGTGCCTCGATTTTCGAGTCTCGATCGAACGATCGGTTGCACGTATTACTCATCCCTGTTTCGAATCGGTCGTTCATTGGTTTCTTTAAATGACTTCTCGGTGATCGTGGATAGAATAGTACAAGTTCTCATGCGTGAATTCGTTAGTCCTTGAAAGCAATTGTTTAAACGTGCGGGAAGTCGAGGTGCGCGATGACGTTCCGGTTTTGTTATTGATTCCGTGGTCGGTGGGAAGTGTGTAAATAATGAGTAATGCGAGATGACTGTGAGCTTGACGGTTCGTTGTCGACAGGATACTCGTTTCCTGCGGCCTGCAATTGCTTTCAACGACCAACCTTTGCGGTAACGATCAAGGGAACTTCGAGCGTAAGTGGAAAAAAAAATTGGTCGTTCTCTTGTCGTTTATAAATAGATTGCAAAAGAAGAAACGCAGTCCCATAAAGGCCCGGGATATTTATAGCCATGCGAACGTACAAGAGTGTGCGCTCGTCAAACAGATTAAACGGAGGTGAAAAAGTAACTGTTATCTGTTGGGTTTGTGAACGACTTCAATCATCGTGAGATTTCGTTAGATAAATGAAGAGATCCGCAGCGTGATCCGTGACCGTGCAATCTTGTTTGATATACCGCGTACCCGGCTAACAATTAATCCCGCGGTTAACGGTCTGACGTGTGTACAAAACATTTCGCGTCTCAACGACTGTCCGTACAGATCGAAGCGCGTTTCCTGGTATATTAAAGATATTTATACTTTTCTTTGTGTGTATATATGT